TTTTTTTTTTTTTCTAGATTCCACGCATAAGTGATATCGTGTGGTATTTTCTTTCTCTTTCTGGCTTACTTCACTTAGAATGACTATCTGGGTATAGCTCACTGGTAGAACCTGTGCTTAGCATGTGCTGAACTCTTACACCACAACAAAAAGCAAGCCTTCTCATAGCCTGTTGCCCTTCAGTCTCTCAATTAACAGGAACACACTGGATCCAGTTCATTCCAACTTGAGCTAGGTTATATGGATTTGAAGTCACTACTCCATAATCAGAGAGTGACCGTCCACAATTTCTTAACTCAGCCACTAAAACAAACTAACAGACCTACTATAGTCATTCTTGTTATATGTGAGGTTATTTAGAAAGTGGACTGAGATCTGTATGTGAGGATACTTATTTTAAGCTAAAAAGAGTATTTTTTTCTTGCCAAAATAATCCAGTAGTAGTGTCATTTTCAAGGCTATTGATCATTTACTTGCAATGACCATATTTAGAAAAGCAATGAGCTCATTAGAGGAAACAAGGAATCCAATTTCATTAGGTATTAATGCTCAGGGGCACACTGTTAGATTGCTTGGTATTCACACTCAGTTAAGGTACGTGAGAATAGTGGCTGTAATTAACTAAACTTCTGTGTTAATATAGCACTTACTGGAGACACCGTTAAAGGTGCCTTTGTGCACAAAAGACAAGGTTAAAAGACTGTATGTTATTTATCACATTTAGGAAAGCTCTTCTTCCCTATAATTTAAAGCCTTCACTTACTTATCCCTCTGTTGTACAGTGACTTATTAAGAATGCTCAAAGAGGCAAGTAAATTTACATTCTTTAAAGTCTTAAGACAAGGTTCTTAAAAAGTAGACTGATGCTTAAAATATTATGGTTAATCTTCCTTAAAAGGCAAAAATGTGAAATGTTAAGTAATAATTTTATCTCACAGGGTTGTCCAAAATAGATGATTCCATACTTAAGCTTTCTCCTCTTAACATGTGATCTGTATATTAATAAATAACATATAAAATAATACTAGAGGAACTTTTATATTATTTCAATGACCATCTGATGACCCTAAAGTGAAGATTATTTCCTAAGTGGGGAGAAGTCAGTTTATCTAAGGTGTGGCAATAAAAGCATACGTCACAAACATAGTAAGGCCAGCATAAATTTCTTAATATTCATTAGTTGCCAACAGTAAAGCAGATTTTACAGAGAATTCCAGATTTCTGGCTCTCCTTGGAAACTTGGTCAACGTGGCCGCCGGAACTCCCTGGTCCTATGTAGCAACAATTACTGCGAGCTGAGTGGCCTCTCCTGTGTAGGTGGAGCTTGTGCTCATGGATTGCTCACCATCGCCACCCAATCTGCCTCTCTCATGGATGCTGGCTACCTTGTTCTTATAGTTGTTTGAGTCTTCCCCTCCTGATACATAATAATGACAGTAACTCCCCTAGCTCTTAATTTGTCAAATTTCTACCTATCATTCAAATTTTACTTCTCTTTTTCTGCGAGGTTCCCCCAGTCTTTCCAGTTGGAATTAATGTCTTCTTGGATCCCACAGTAATTTGTCCATTCTTATATAACATTTATAATATTGCATTGTCTTTTTTATGTGCACTTATATGCATCTGTCTCCCAAGTCTGTTTGTTATCTTTCAAACTATATTCATTGGACGTTTGTCATGTGTCAGTCAACAGGGTAACTAAATGCTGGGGCTACAGCAACCACCAAGACTAGCTTGGTACCTGCTTCAAGGAGCTGACAGACCCTCCTTCTCAGCATATAACAGATGCTCAATAGATGTTTATTTAGGAAAGATATCTATTGCTTTTTCTAATCCATATACATTTACTCTCATTTGAACTTTGACATAGAAA